AAATGTCTATCATTTAAAAAAAATCTTGATAAAAATTGGTAAATTCCCTTTAAGGCCAATATTGTCAAGATCTTCTAAAATGCCATGTCTCCATGTAGTATCATATGCCTTTTCCAAATCAAAAAACACAGATACAGCATGCTCTTTTTTGATAAAACCGTCTCGAATACAGGTTTCCAGTCTTACCAACTGGTCAATTGTGCTTCGGTTTTTTTCTAAAACTACGCTGTATATTAGATAGAATATTATTGGTTTCAAGAAACCATATGAGGCGATCATTAATCATCCTTTCCATCGTTTTACATAAGCAGCTTGTAAAAGAAATTGGTCGATAATTATTTGTATCCGTATGATTCTTTCCAGGGTTTGGAATAGGAATAATAGCTTGGGTCCAGGAAGGTGGAAATTGACCTCGCTCCCAAATTTTATCAAAAATTTTCGAAAGACATTCTATGCTGTTTATAGGAAGGTGTTTAATTATTTGGTAATGAATCTGATCTGGTCCAACAACTGTATCATGAGACTTTTCTAAGGATTTTTGAAGTTTGTCAATAGTAAATGGGTGATTATAGCATTTATTGTTCTCAGATGTAAAATCTAACGTTTTATTTTCTTGAGATGTTTTATGTTTACTAAATTTAGGGCTCACGTTTTTTGTGGAGGAATTTTTATGTATTGTACTAGCTATTTCATTGGATATTTGTTTTTTATCCGTAATAATTTGATTTCCAACCTTCAGATGCTGATATTTTTCAGGACCTTTTCCATTAATTTTCCTTATTGCGTTCCAGACCTTATTGATAGGAGTATGTGAATTAACGTTGGGTACGAACTTTTTCCAAGATTTTCGTTTATTAAAATTTCTAGTTCTCCGAGCTTTTGCTCTAAATATACGGAAATTGCTTAAATTTAGAGATGTTGGTACTCTACTAAATTGTCTTTCTGCTTTTTTGCGAGCTTTAATAGCATCATTACATTCTTCTGTAAACCATGGTTTTTTGACTCTAGTAGAATTTGTCGAGGTTTTAGGTATGCATTTATTTGCAGTATTTAATAGTATTTCAGTAAATTTTTGAATTGGATCAGGATTGTTTTCAAACTTTTCATCCGAAATATTTTGTAAACACATAGTTTCAAATTGTTTCCTATCAGCCTTGCTAAGTTTCCAGTTTTGAGTCGAACTATTTCTTCGGGTGTGTTTACTTTAATTATAATTGGGAAATGATCACTTCCACATAAATCATCATGTACTGACCAACTGAAATCCAGGAGTAAAGAAGGATCTACTAAAGTAATATCTATTGAAGAATATGAATCATTACCCGGATGCAGGTAAGTGCTAGAGCCGTTATTAAGTATACAAAGATTATGATGTGATATTGCATCTTCAAGTTTTTTCCCTTTATCTGTGCTTTATCTTTCTCTTTATCGCTACCCCATAATGGATTATGGGCATTAAAATCACCCACTATCATAAATGGAGCAGGATGTTGTTGTATTAGTTTTGTAAGTTCTAAAATTTGTAAATTATAGTTAGGAGGTACATATACTAGCTGAACAAAGGGTTATCGTTTTTCCAAGAGAAAGGCGTACAGCTACTGCCTGAAGATTTGTTTTTAAGTCTACTTGACTATGAATGAACTTATTGTTAATTGCTAAAGAGGTTCTCTCCGTTTGAACATAATGGTTGTACATACTATAGTTTTTAATATTAACTGTAACTGTTTCCCTTAAATGTGTTTCTTGTATGCATACAGCTACCGGGCAATAGTCCTGAATAAGTAAAGATAATTCATTAAAATTGACTCTAAAACCTCGACAATTCCATTGAATAAACGATGGATGATGCATTTTTTTTGATATGAGAAATAGGGGATAACCTCCCTTTATTTTTTTGGGGGGTGATACACTCCGGAATCGCGAGGAAGAATGACATGGAGTGATGTCCATCTCCTCGAAGACCCCAAATTTATTGTGGAGATTGACGGTCCGTTTGGGTAAACTATCACTCAAATATTTTGGGGTGTTTTTGGAAGTGTTTTTTGAGGGAGATCTGTTTTTTCTCCCTGATGATGTTGAATTGTTTGTAGATGCTGGTTGTGATGTTGTGGGTACGGTTTTTTGTGCAGCCGCAACTGCAGGACCTGCAGAAGCAGGCACTGAAGTGTGTTTACCTTTGTCAGGTGACAAAGGTATTGGACAGGATGAAGTCTGCTGAAGAAAGTCTTTCTCAGAGACTTGTGAAGACATGTCCTTCAAAGAGGACGATTTAGCAAAAGTTGCAAAAGTTAAATTTTGTTTTGGACTACTATATATGTTTACCAACCTTTTGGCTTCTTGATAAGGTATCCTTTTTTCAGCTTTGACCCTTTTTTTTTTTCTTTTTCTTTTTTCCACAGAGGGCATTCTTTGGAGGAAGCCACATGCGCGCCCTTGCAATTTTTGCATTTGGGGTCGTTATGGCAACATTTACCATTATGTCCCTCCTCATCACACCTGAAGCATGTTTCAGAACTTTTACAATTGGGTTGTCCGTGTCCAAACCTCTGACATTTAAAACAACAAAGAGGATTTGGAACGAAGATTTCGACTTTCATATTGTAAAACCCAACTTTAATACCTGTGGGTAATATTGGTATGCCAAAGGTCAGAAGATAGGTATTTGTTAGTTCTATGTTATTATTACGCTTTTTGGTAAACCTTTTCACAGAGACCACTCTCTGGGATTCCAACTCAGGAATGCCATCCAGGTCGGGATCCCTGTCGAAAAGGTTACCCTTGCTCTGATTTAATCCGCTGTGGATTTTACCAACAACAGGAATATTGGCAAGCATTTTCAAACCTAACAAAGAAGTTGAGTGTTGTTTTTTGGTTACTTCAATAAGTAGAGCACCGGATCTCAACTTTTTAACAGATTTAGGAGTACCGATGATTTCTTGAATACCTTTTTGAATGATGAATGGCGATACCTTTGTTAAAGGCTTCGTATGTTGTTCTGCTAATTGTGCTTCAAGTGTGATGAAGAGGGGCCAGTGTTCCACGATGGAATTCAGTTGATCATCGTTTAAAGTAACATCGAAACCTGCTGGATAGCAACGTTTTTTTTTGAGAGAGCCATGATTGTATTAGAAAGGATTCAGAATCCTTGCTCCCCGCCCGCCTCGGAGCGCCAACAAGGGCGATATCCAGTCAAACGGTCATCCAGTAAGACTGATACCAAGAGGATACAAAGAAACTATACTCAGACATGATATGCCTGATTGACCCTTAGCCACCGCTTAATATATAAATATCAACATGGAAACGTCGGCGTATTGGAAATTGCAAAACATGTAAACGGATAATGAAAAGTGCAACACATCAATACTATGGCATGTAGATACAATGTATAATCAGCTCGGCATGACTAGCCGATTGATCAAGTCGGGCCAAACTTGACCTCCCGTTTAGATGAATAAGGGGCCAAAGTGGGGTGTTGGTCGGACAGGTGCATTATACCCTGCACCTGCAGACCTCAGCCACCAGGATCCCCTTCTCCACCAACACGGGTCGCAACCCACGGCCAACAGGTTGCCCAATTTAGTCGCCTCGTACGACATGCCAGGGGGTGCCAGGGACCTATTCTTATCACCCCTATTCTTATCACCCACAGCCGTAATAATGTTGAACTTTGAAATACTTAAGCTATATCTTACAAAAGATTTACCATTTCAATGACTTTTACACTTTGAATGTTTGACACTTTGATTTAACATAGTTATATCTTTAATATACTACAATGTATTTTGATACTCATGATTCTATAGTAGTAAATATGCCACAAAAATGTTACCTTTATAAACTTTAATTTTCTACTGTGATAAATATGAAATATTGATTAACTATGGTTTACTATGATTTACTAAAATATTATTTTGATGAGAATTGAGATGTGTAAACAATCAAGTCATTAAAAACACCAGTTTTTCAATTATAGGTCTTTCAACTGGAACAGATGGACTAATATATACCTTTGCATATTGGTATAAATTATTTAAAGAGATACATAAAAGAACTGCAAGGGTGTTATAACATATAAAGAGTATTAAGAAAGTTTGCTCCACATTTTTCTTTTATTTTTGAAAAGAAATATGATGAAAAGATATATACAATTTGTAATATTTCATGTTTACAGAGTCAATTCTTGCTTCTGATACTAATGTAAGGTTTTACATGCTTTTTGTTGAATCAATAAGGGGAGGGCTGGTATTACAACTGATGATGTCTGTTCAGAAAAAGTTGGAATGACGCATATTTTGACATATAATAAGTACATAGTCATGTCAAAACATCCTTTGAAATACTATGCAAAAGATATAAAATCTGTAAAAAATTTCAATATGACAAACCTATTCTTTTGAAAAGTGATCTATCATTCTTTTGAAAAGAGATCTATCAACGCTCATCAGCTTGCCTGACTTCAAGATAAACTATAAAGAAACAAGAGTAAATTATCCTTTATTTTCACTCAAATTGACCAGCATTTCTTTCATTCAGGTGCTTAAAAGATGTTAAATATATTTTCATATGGAAAAAAATCCTATAATTTCCTGCAAGAAATGAATTGCTATAGATCTAAAGCACAATCTTGTGATTTTGTCAGACTTGAAAAAAATCATTTCTCTTAACACCCCTTATATCAGTTGATTTCCTGAATCAGAACCTTAATAGAACACTATATGATTGTATGAAATTTTTCAGTCAGATCTGAAACATAAATGTGTTGTTATAGATTGTATTAATGTAATGACGCATACTTTCATTATTTTTTTCCAGTTTTTAAAATGAAATTTGGTAAACTTTCTTATAATAGAATATAAACTGCAACAACCTTATGTTTAAAAAAAAACATCAGGTTAGATTTATGAATTGCAAAATGTACATTAAGCAAGATTAATGTAATATTATAAATGCAGAATAACATTGTATTATGCTTCTTTTTAGGTTTTCCAGACACTTATTCAAAGAGGTACATGTATATTAGGATATGTTGTTCCTTGCAAGGACTCTATTGATACTATTTCCAGTGTTTTGTCTTGTCCAAGGAACGAAGATGAATACAACAACGCTGTAAAACGGAGGAGGTGCCAAGCTAAGCCACATTCCTGTGCGTCTTTTCAATATCACTGTGTTTTAAATGACTGGATGAATGATACAATAGAAGTGTGTGCTCCATCTTTGTTAATTGTTGGTATGTGAAATGTAAATTCAGAATGTCTTCCTTCTTTCCCTTAACTTCATCTTGTTTTGTGAATGTTTTAAATTTTTTGTGCCCATTATTAGAACATAAATTTTTTAATGTAATTAATCTTGAAATTAATTTTATTTAAATTTTCACTTGCTTTCTTGATTTAGGTGGGATATGTACTAAATTTAGTTGGAATGAAATGAGTATTCGTGGAAATTTTTTGACTAACTGTAAAACATTCAATGTACCATGTCCACTGGCATACAGATCAACCACATCATATAAATGTAATTATGTATATTATTCATATATGTTTTTTCTTGTTTCTTCATATGTACTTTTTTCATGTATGTATGCCTATTTTTTTAGAATGCACATTGCACAGACTTGTGTATTATTATACCCCCAATTTTGGTAAAATAAGCTTGTTTTTTTGGTCCGTTTCACCGTCTGTCTCTCAGTCTGCCACTGTGACAGTATCTTCTTCCTCAAACTAAAATTTCAAACAAATTGCATAATTTTGAATTAAGGTGTCAACAGCATAAAAACTTTTAAAAATTATTTTTCAGATATGAGCAACAAAACTGTGAACATTGCACTTGTTGTTGTTGACATATTTTTTGACAAAATTTACGTAAAATCCATCCACTTGTTACTGTATATGAGAGAAAAGACTACATCAGAGACCTCTATTTTCAGATTCAGACTGCTATTTTAACATACGAAAAGTGCTCTCATCAGAGAAAAGAAATTGTACATCTCGTGATGGGTAGATGGATTTTTTTAATATTATAATAATTTTGAATTCAAATTTCAATGTAAATAAAGGAAATATAAAACAAATGTTAGTAATAAATAATTAACACTTAGCGCTACAGGTATTTTTTAAATTTTTAAAAAAAAATCTCAAGGAAGATGAGAAAAACTATATTTTGATTGTGCCCCTTGTACTGGTATCTCTGACTACATTTTGCACCATGGCATTGGCGTATTTCTTCAGAAAACAAATACAGAAAGCGTCCCTGAGGTATTCAACCCCAAATGGGAGTGACCAGATGCAATGATAGTGTACTGATTCTAAACAATGTCTCCTGTAATGAAACATATATTTTTGCACGTATTAAACTTTTTTTGAGCTGCCATAGTTTTTGTACATGTAATAATAATATTTTTTAAAAAACATCTTGCATTTTTCAATTGATTAATATTGCTAAGATTTTATTTTTCAAGGATATTGTACAATTTTATCATTTCCGTAAATGAAATGACACGGTATAATTCTCCACTGAAAGAATAAAAAATTGGAGATGAATTTCTTATTCCCTCTTTTTGGTATTCAGAAAATATTTTTGTATAATATTCTCTTTAATTGTAGTCATTGTTTTAGAAATATAATTATATTCGTTCAGCAGATCTAATTTTTGAATATAAGCACTTTAGTTCATATACATCCATGTGTTCAAAATTATACATATGTCGATCATTATCCTTACTTTTAATGGAAGTATAAGAATTATTTATACATGTAGATGTGTTCAAAATTTTGTTAACTTACTATTTGACATAAATTCTCAATTGTAATGATTACTGTTTATAAATGTGTTCAAAGTTTTACCGCATTAATCAGTATCTTTTTCATCGTCACCATCCTCATTATCCTTATTACCTTTATAAGCATTCATTTCTGAATATATACCGGTACATACATGTAATCATTTCCTACATAAACAGGAACGGTTTTTCGTCATAAACGAGTAATAAAAAGTCATTACTACATGTAAATACAGAGGCAGGCTTCATAAAGTGTCTAAATGAATGTTATAAAACATGTGTCAGATTACTTTTAACATGGCAGTACTGTTATGGTTTCCCATAGCTTTCAGGATTCATCCCAAAAACAAACTTTCTTATCTTCCGCATAAAAGAGTTGCACAACAGTTTTTTCCAGAATTTGCATCTCGTCATCACTGTAACTGAAATTACAAGAAATTTAGGTAATACCCCTACTAGTCGTACCATAGTCCGAAAAATCTGACGTTTTCCTGGCTTTTTTACGATTTTAAAATTTTACATGCCAGGAAAACGTAAGAACCTGCGCCATTACGAAAACTGGAAATTTCGCTGTCTCGCACCGGACCGGAGTTCATTTTTAATACTTGCAAACCACACTTTATGCCGAAATCAGAATTTATCAACAGAACAACACATCTAGTACTTACCATTATCGATGAAAAGAAAATATCACACCATATTTAGTTACTTGCAAGATTTTAAAATGCACGAAATGAAGACAAATCTCGACAATGTGATAAAATCTTTTCGACGGATTGTATATTATATAAATGAACCATAAAACGATATTGGTGAATACCAAAGGTATTGTACTATTGATAACTTGTGACATTGAAATTTAATTCGCTCCGCAAGTATCTACAGTCAACTTGTGAATGCCGCCTCCGGTTGGAGGCGGCGATTTCCCAGTGTTCGTAATATAATGGCGCCGGTTCTGACGTTTTCCTGGCATGTAAAATATAAAAATCGTAAAAAAGCCAGGAAAACGTCAGATTTTTCGGACTAGTCCTACCAGTACATATTACAGCTACACGTATGAAATATCAACCTCTCTTATCTAATCATAAATCATTCTGTTTATATGTCTAATCACTGACATTTAAAATCATTTAAGACTGAAAATAAATTCATTAAAAGTTCTCAAAGTGCAAAGGTGACGTTCTTGTGTACATCAGTTAGCAAGAAGGATATGGAGACAACGAACAGTATTAAATATCAAAGTCCATAAAACAATGCAAAATAGGAGTACAGCATACACGGACCTCTGAAACATCAGAGGTGTGATCAGGTGCCATCCGCGGCTGACCGGTCACATCCATCTTGTGCTCCTTGTCATAAAAATAACGGGAAAATCCGTCGTCAATTCAATGTTTTAATTATTGACTAACAATAAGTATGAAAAACTTCAAGGTCATTGTATCGACCATAGAACTTACAAAATGATGACTTTAAACGAAACTGCTGATAGTCTTGATTCATCAACTTGCTTGTCAATAATTTACTCTGCAGGGTATACGTATGTCATATAGACATAAGAATGTAAATTCCCATTGTTAATTGATAATGCGTCGTCGATATATCAAAATGTCGAGTTGAAGGCCACAGCAAGTGTTTTCTTCTTTCCTCACATAAGATTTTGCACAAACTCTGCTTCATAAGAACACAAAACCACTGCCGCTAATAACCGGGTACAAATGGTAACCATGGAAATTCCAGTAGATTGTTGTAGGACCTGGTCTCCAAAAACCACAAAGATATTGTCAATCAGAAACTCAAGCATCTTTTAAATGCAAACTCTAAAATACTTGTGTGTGCAATCAGAATGTGTTCAAACAAAATAATTTTTCAAATGACCATTGACCAGGTACAATGTAAGTAAATTTACGAGTTCCATTTTTATTAAAAAATCAGCTGTCAATGATATCAAAAAGCCTTGACTTTAATTAATTTTTGGGGAATAATTGTGTATAACTTTGAAAAGTCGTGAGATTTTAAGCTGTTGATATTTGTAAAATCTTTTGATTTCAAATTGTGCAAAAGTTCTTTGAAATTTTTGAGTATCCACATCTGATTCACACCACTTCTTGAATATATTGTTGCACAGCAATCTTGAAGTTAATTTCCTTCACTACTGTTAAAGTCTTAGTGAAGAGTAACGCAATAACAAATGTTCACGACCTAAGTCCAGTGGTAAATTTGAGGCTGACTGGACTTAAAGGAAAGAAAATATACACCTAACAAATATTCTAAACAGAGAGGTTATTTTTTTAATTGACCTAGAAACTTTGTTTAAGGTCACTGCACATCCATTGACAAGTGTCACTCTGTGAGTGAAGTAATTGTTCAGAATACTTTTTTTTCTGGATGAGAATTGTATGTTTTCTAGATGCTGCGTTATTTTTAAACATATTCATTTACGTAGTGCTGGAGACATCTCCAAGAAAAATACCGCATTAGCAGAATATTAAGCGAGGATTAAATAATGAACTTATTAGCCAGTGTGCTGAGATCGCTAAAATTAAATATCCCTAAAGATTAACTGCATTTTATTCTAATAGTAAATATATTAAAATCGCTAAAATTACTTCTTGCTAAAAATAAGGTATCAATTTTTTATGGACAAATCACCAAATTTGCATCTTGTTAAAATTTCCATTTATAAAATTATATTGTATTTGAATGAAAGATGTATCGTAAGTTAAAAAAAGTAATGGATGCTATTCTGCATCATTCACGACAGCAAGGACTTTATTCCCATTTTACTGAGATTGCTTAAATACAGTGATCGTTTCCTCTATAGAGAACCGAATTAGGTCATAATATCTTACAGATTTTACAGATTAAAGTGTAAATTTTACACTTTAAAGTGTAAAATGGATAGATTAATGTGTAAATTTTATAGATTAAAGTGTAAATGTTACAGATTAAAGTATAAAATTTACAGATTAAAGTGGAAAAATAAAAAAAAGTAAAGATTCCTAATGGCACTAAAATGCTGAATATGTTTCATGAGAGTGCAGATATTTCTTGTTGTCATCAATTTCTCAAATTTTATGGTGCATACAATGACTTGCAAGTATAATCTTTTGTTCAGACGAATATTGAATCATGAATACCATAATTTGGCTACAAACTTTCCTGTGTATAAAATCACAACAAAGATCTCATGTCGCGTGTAGCTGTTACAGTGTACATGTAGACCAGATCATTTCCTCCTTCACGACACTTGTTTAAAAATTTGTATTTTCAGCTATACATGAACTCTTACTCTGCTTTTATACATGTAATTATATTTCATCAAAAAGCCTTTATGACAGACATGTGAATTTCACACAAGTGACGCTTAAAACCTAAATATGTATTTATTATTTATTAAGGCTATCATGTTTATTTGGTGTCTTTGAGCGCGTTTAACAAGAGAGAAGCGTGGGTGGGTAAAAAATAGATAAATATTAAAGACACGTAGTGTTAAATGTGTTGATTAAACATTAATTCTTAACTATCCCTACGAGAAATTTGCACTTTATTTAAATGAACTACGATTGTGAAAATACATAATTATTCACAGATTGGTGTACATAGTAAATTATGATTAATACATTATACCAACGGGAAGGGGAACAAATTGCAGACGATTAATATATAATTGATGAGTACACAAGTTATACTCATCAAAGTGAATGTTTAACAGGTCAATTTTTGTGTTCCTGATCTTTCTATATTATATTCCTAGTTATTATTAAATTTCCCATATGTAAATGAAAATAAATCAATTGAATTTTTTCATTCTTCCTTGAAGCATCATTGTAGATCAATATCAATGGCGTTAACACAGCTTATATTTATCACAAGTCTATTTACATGTACATCTACATCTGCAATATTCTGCAAAGAAAAGTGAGTATTTTTTATCTGTATAATATTAAAAATATACTGCAGAAAAAATAAACATTTAATATCTATCCCGATCGGGATTCTTAGAAACCATTTTAAGAATAATTCAATTTAGGGAACAAAAGTATTGTTTAATCTTAAATGTTCAAACTTCTTTCCCAAAGCGTGAATTGTAGGGAGTAAATAATGATTTAAATAAATATATATGAAATTTATTGTTCCAAACATTTTTCATATACAAACTGAAAATTTCAATATGATTCTAAATAAAAAAAAAAACGACAATATAGCAAGGTGCTTAAG